AAGTTCTTTTAAGACAAAAGGCACAATACCATGACAAACAATACATAATCCACTGGGCCAGTGGTCATGCACTGGCCCATCGTTTATGACTCGGTATGTTACATGTCGGGCCCAGTGGTTTTCCAAGGTTCAGCAGGGCTATATTATGCGATGGCACAAGTAAAGTTCTAGCACGTAAGAGGACCGTGGTAATCACGGAAAAACACAGTGGTTCAAGTGTAACTGCCCAGAAGATTATGCACTCACCATTTCCACCACTGGACTGACATTTTGCTGCACAATGGTCTGCAACCAGTTGTAACTGTGCAGGTATATATCATGGATTATTCAAGACCCCATGTCATTAGATGATTGATTATGATTGCCTCATTGTTCCTGTAACTGTCGTGGTTATGCACTGCCAGGTCAGTGCAATTGCCATGATTCTTCAAGCCAGTTGTTATCAGGAGTGTTATGTGCTGTGTGTAATGATACCCATCTATAGTTTTCACTTGTGCTTGTGGTTAATGATGTGCAGATGCGTTTTGCTGGACCTAGTTTGTTTTCATCATTTTATCACTATAAACACAATGCACGAACAAGTTCTCACTGCTCTATGTTGTTTGCTCGCTTCATTTCTTCTGGGATATCCATGGTTTTTCAGTTTATAAGTTTGCTGTTAAATTCTATGAGTGGCCTTGTTATGCAGTTTTATTATGTCCTTGGCACAGTTAACATTCATGAAGGGATTCAGGGAACTGATTCCTGCACTTGAGTCCGAGTGTTATAAAGTTTTTATGGCAGTATATGTTTGCACTAAGATGGAATTTTTATATGATGGCAGTTCTCTAATGCTTGTATATAAACTGGCAGTAATTTACAGATTTAATTCTTTTCTCTGAGTATTATATACCTTTTTTTTTTTTTGTCTTGTCAAATAAAGTTCTTTAAGGACCAAATGGCACAATACCCATGTTCAAACAATGACATAATTCTCACTGGCCCAGTGGTTCATGCACTGGCCCAGTGGTTCATGCACTGGCCCAGTGGTTCATGCACTGGCCCAGTGGTTCATGCACTGGCCCAGTGGTTCATGCACTGGCCAGTGGTTCATGCACTGGCCCAGTGGTTCATGCACTGGCCCAGTGGTTCATGCACTGGCCCAGTGGTTCATGCACTGGCCCAGTGGTTCATGCACTGGCCCAGTGGTTCATGCACTGGCCCAGTGGTTCATGCACTGGCCCAGTGGTTCATGCACTGGCCCAGTGGTTCATGCACTGGGCCAGTGGTTCATGCACTGGCCCAGTGGTTCATGCACTGGGCCAGTGGTTCATGCACTGGCCCAGTGGTTCATTGCACTGGCCAGTGGTTCATTGGCACTGGCCACCAGTGGTTCATGCACTGGCCCAGTGGTTCATGCACTGGCCCAGTGGTTCATGCACTGGGCCAGTGGTTCATGCACTGGCCCAGTGGTTCATGCACTGGCCCAGTGGTTCATGCACTGGCCCAGTGGTTCATGCACTGGCCTGGAGTTTTATGTCTCACTCACCATGGGTTCAAGCCCCATCTGTTCCCTGGTTTGTAATTGTGTTATTATGATATATTGTTTAAGTGTTGGGTGCATCTTTCATGATTTACAAATGCAGTTAAAATTAGATTATGCAGCTGCATTCAACTGCTAATTCCATACCCTTGTGCATTGTGCATTTTGAAGCTTCTGATGTAGCTATATCAGAAGCTCCAAAACCAGAGCTTCAGAAGCTTCAGAATGGAGCAAAAGAAGCTCCAGAAACAGTACTTCAGAAATGGATCTTCTGACGTAGCTACGTGGAACTATCAACATCACTAGTTATGTCATTACCGACAAAATAACAAAAATGGAAGCCATAATAGAACAATAAAGCCACACTGATCACATTGAACACTAATGGAACCAACTATGGAAATGATAGTGGTACATTAATGATTTCCTGACTGACACTAGTCTGTTGTATCAACTGTCATCCCTGGCCTCCCCTCACCTGATGTCCTTCCCTCAGTACCACAACCTCTTGACCCATTTCCTGTCATATCTCTTATGCAGTGGTATGGTTTGTTTGCAATCGTGTCATTACGATTTCGCGTGTCAGGCAGTTAGGTAAGATCTGTCAGGAAATAGGACAATGCTTAATAACTCATTTGGGTTTAGCACTTTCTGTGATTAAAGTACGTATAATTGCCTTGATACCAGTGAAGGGATTTTCATCCAAGGAATGTACTTGCCTTCCTTGGGTTTAGTGCTTAATTTGATTTTATCATCATCTCCCTCCATGAATCAAACTTGAATGCTTCCCATTCCTCAGGTGCTAAATGCCCACAATGGGTTTAGCACCATTATGTATCTGTGCCTCTTTCAAGACAGTGACTATAAATGATGGTGAAAGTGTTTCTTTTTCGGGTCACCCTGCCTTGGTGGGAGATGACCAGCGTGTTAAAAAAAATGTTTCGCATGATTTTTATGAATAAATATATCATCACTGAGCTCATTTTACAGTTGATTACATTGAAAAATATATTAATGAATATGTCATTGCTGCTCTTGTATCTGCTATTTCTTACTCATTGAATAGAACTCCTACAGTAATCTTTGTAATACTGTAATGGTCGAATTACCGATATGTTAGGTAAAAGGACAAGTGTAACTAATGTGACTTTTTATTGTGGCAATGTTTTGCTCTCCAGGAGCTTTGTCAAGCTGTCAAGGCTTGACAAAGAGAAATGTTGCCACAATAAAATGTCACATTAGTTACAAGTGTCCTTGTTTGGTAGCTGTCAAGCTCAGGAAAAGTCATTGATCCTGGTACATCTCCTGCATTGGTTTACTAATTTAGAAGAGTACAATAATAAAAAAAAAAAAGCAAGCATTACCTAAAATTTAATCTTGAATCGATAGCTTCGTCATGCAGAAATTCATCTCCCTTTCTTGTACCACAACCTGCATTGTTCTTGTTCTCAGGGATTGGAGTTTTATACTCTGTCTTCATATCTGCATCATAGAGACTGGTATGCAGTCTCTTCTCACAAATGCTGTTTCTTTATAGCAGTGAGCTGTATAGTCCTTGTGGCTTAGCGCTTCTTTTTGATTATAATAATAATAATTTATGCGTGAACACTTACATGGGTTGTTGGAATGTGAGGAGGGGTAACATTTATGAAGGAATATCAGGAAACCGGTTATCTGGATTGATACTCATGGAGTTGCTATCTTGGACTTGAGGAGGGGTTGTGAGATATTTGTTTTAAACTACTATAGTATGCTCACCTTGAGGTTATCTTGAATTGTGATAGCTAATACATATTCTTATTCTTAATCAAAATTACATGTACCTGTATAGTTGTAGGTGTGTTTACCTATAGCTTAATTAGTAATGTATTGCATAATCACTTGTAGGGAGGTTCTTTGATGTTGTGTGGACTTTAATGTGATGCTTTGTTTTGAATCCAGACAAAAATACTTATTGTTTTGCAGGTGCTGTAGACCTCCTGAGCTTAGCACTCCGGGGGTGGAATGTGGATACATAATAGTGTCGAATTTTGTTGTGGGCCTTATGGTGGATGATCTTTGAAATTAAGTGACCATGGCTCTGAGTAAGAAATTGGAGTTACCTTTCCCTATGACCTACTTACAGGTTTAGTGCTTGGTTATGCTATAATATGACCCCTACAGATATAGTGCTCTCTCTCCCATGACCTCAATGAAGGCTCCTTGATGCTATCGAGGGACTTTTGATCCAAGAAACGACTTATTTCTTTCCTTGGATAAAAGCAAACTATCATTCTCCACTTTCTATATGACCTCTACTGTATGACCCTTATGGGTTTAGGGCTTAGTTATGATTATAAAAATAATCACCACTGAAGTACTCTTCTAACCTGTACAGGTTCAGCGCTTATTTTAAAAAATACAGTGGAACCCCAAAAATCGAAAGTATCACATATCGAATGTTTCGAAAATAAGACCATTTTTTTGGACAAACTGTGTCCCTATTATCGAATGCGCCCCTATTTTCGGACCGCCGGGTACGGGACCTGTCTGCTGGCCCGCTCTTTCCACATCCCCGCGCAGGCGCCGTGAGCAGTCTAGCTTTGTTTATGCTTGAGTGAACACTAACCTGCATCTCATTCACACATTTTACGATTATTTAATTGTGTTTAGTGCTTGTGGGGCTGTGAAATAAGCTGCCATGGGCCCAAAGAAACTTGCTAGCAGTACTCCTGTGGTAAAGAAAGTGAGAAACACCATAGATGTGAAGAAGGAAATAATACAGAAGTATGAGATTGGAGTGAGACTTGTTGAGCTTGCCAGGATGTACAGAGGACTGTGGATAGTTATTTTGTGAGAGAGAAACAGACGACTGTGGAGCTATTTTGTGAGACCGACAACTGTGGAGTTATTTTGTGAGACACAGATGATTGTGGACAGTTATTTTGTGAGACAGAGACAACTGTGGAGTTATTTTGTGAGAAACAGACGGTTGTGGACAGTTATTTTGTGAGACAAACAGACGACTGTGGACAGATTTTGAGACAGAACAGACGACTGTGGAGTTATTTTGTGGACAGTTATTTTGTGAGACAAACAGATGACTGTGGACAGTTATTTTGTGAGACAGAAACAGATGACTGTGGAGTTTTGTGAGACAGACGATTGTGGATAGTTATTTTGTGAGACAGAAACAGACGACTGGATAGTTATTTTGTGAGACAGAAACAGACGGCTGTAGACAGTTATTTTGTGAGACTGGGGTCCAATGACTCTCAAGCTGGTCCTAGTGGCATTAAAATACAGAGAAGGGAAGCAACCCCAGAGAGGACTTTGATACCGGAAGTCCTCATGGAGGGGGATTCTCCTTCCAAACAATAACCCCAACTCCCTCTCTCCTCCTCCCTATCTTCCAGATGCCATCACCAATCTTCAATAAAGGCAAGTAAAAATGTTATTTTATATTACTATACATAAAGACTGTAGCATTTGTTGTGTGTATGTAAAACTAATTAATCTCTATAAAATGTAGTTTTTTTTTTTTTGTGAATATTTTTGGGTTTCTGGAACGGATTAATTGTATTTCCATTATTTCTTATGGGAAATATTGTTCGAATTTCAGACTTTTCGAATTTAGAACTAGCTCCTGGAACGGATTAAGTTTGAAATTTGAGGTTCCACTGTGACTAACGTGCTGGCCGTCTCCCACCGAGGCAAGGCGACCTGAAAAAAGAAACACTTTTACCATCACTCATACTATCACTGTCTCGCCAGATTCATATTTTAGATTTTGCCCCCGAAGTGGCTAGTTTATTGTGCACCCCATATCCATCCTGTGGATATGGGGTGCACAAGAGCATATAGATACACAAAAGGCTTAGGAACTGGGCCCCAAAAGGGATAACAGGTGCACATATAGGTTTTTTATCTACATATCTACAGTTCACTTATCTGTTACAAGTGAATTTAGGAAATTTGCTTAGTATATCTGGTGAGGGTTGAGACACTTGTGCATTATTATTATCATAATCAAGGGGGAAGCGCTAAACCCGGAGGATTATACAGCGCCTGGGGGGATATGTGGAAGGCATTCAGGCTTAATTCGGGGAACTGGAGCACAGATCCAATTCCCTAAATCAAGAGCCCCTCACCAACATCAAGGAACCTTCCTTGAGGGGAGACACTTGTGCAACATATGGGAATAAAGATTCCCATATGCTGCATAAGTGTCTCAATCTTCAACTTGTTGGTTTTTCAAACCATTCATCACACATTATATCTGGTATTTTATTTTCATTAATAAGATATCTTGACATGTCACATAGGTTATTATACTGTCTGTCTCTGTATTCAATAAGTGGACAGTTAGGCACATAGTGTTCAGGACAGTGACCATATGCCTGATCACATAATTTGCATTTAGTTTGATCATCATCTGTGTGTCTCCCAAACTGTCAGAAGTACTTGTAACCAAGCCTAAGTCTGGCCACTACAACATCAGTCAGTCTGTTCACATTGCAAGTTGCTCCATAAAGATACTAAATCTACGTTCATGTTATCATAGTGGGTTACAGATCTACTCAGGTTTCTAACTGCATTCTTATAACAATCATTTTCATTATTTACTTCTCTCCTGATATTATTCCTAATGCTAGACACAGATATACCAAAGTTATATTCTTCATTCTCCTTCAGTTCAGGGTACTGTTCTTGGCTAACTTATCAACTTCATCATGAAGGAGTAATCAAATGTGTGTGATGGGATCCATACCAATTGTACATTAAAGCACACAGATATGGCAGTAAATAATAATAACGAAGGATGATCTTATCCTGTGATGGGGTATGGCAGAAAAATCCTGTGAGACAGAGTATAAAAGGAAACTCTTTATATGATGGATAATTACAGAGGAATTAGTTTACTGAGTATACCAGGAAAAGTGTACGGTAGGGTTGTTATTGAAAGAATTAGAGGTAAGACAGAATATAGGATTGCGGATGAGCAAGGAGGTTTTAGAGTGGGTAGGGGGTGTGTAGATCAGGTGTTTACATTGAAGTATATATGTCAACAGTATTTAGATAAAGGTAGGGAAGTTTTTATTGCATTTATGGATTTAGAAAAGGCATATGATAGAGTAGATAGGGGAGTAATGTGGCAGATGTTGCAAGTATATGGAATAGGTGGTAAGTTACTAAATGCTGTAAAGAGTTTTTATGAGGATAGTAAGGCTCAGGTTAGGGTGTGTAGAAGAGAGGGAGAATACTTCCCGGTAAAAGTAGGCCTAGATAGGGATGTGTAATGTCACCATGGTTGTTTAATATATTTATAGATGGGGTTGTAAAAGAAGTAAATGCTAGGGTGTTCGGGAGAGGGGTGGGATTAAATTATGGGGAATCAAATTCAAAATGGGAATTGACAGTTACTTTTTGCTGATGATACTGTGCTTATGGGAGATTCTAAAGAAAAATTGCAAAGGTTAGTGGATGAGTTTGGGAATGTGTGTAAAGGTAGAAAGTTGAAAGTGAACATAGAAAAGAGTAAGGTGATGAGGGTATCAAATGATATAGATAAAGAAAAATTGGATATTAAATTGGGGAGGAGGAGTATGGAAGAAGTGAATGTTTTCAGATACTTGGGAGTTGACGTGTCAGCGGATGGATTTATGAAGAATGAGGTTAATCATAGAATTGATGAAGGAAAAAAGGTTAGTGCTGCATTGAGGTATATGTGGAGACAAAGAACATTATCTATGGAGGCAAAGAGGGAATGTATGAAAGTATAGTGGTACCAACACTGTTATATGGGTGTGAAGCTTGGGTGGTAAATGCAGCAGCGAGGAAACGGTTGGAGGCAGTGGAGATGTCCTGTCTAAGGGCAATGTGTGGTGTAAATATTATGCAGAAAATTCGGAGTGTGGAAATTAGGAGAAGGTGTGGAGTTAATAAAAGTAAATCTTGCAAACAAAGCAGCCAGGAAGCTTACAGCACTTCGCCGTATCTCGCATCTACTTGACAGTAGGGGTTGCAAGATTCTGTACGAGGCACAAGTACGCTCACACCTTGAGTATGCTCCACTTTCTTGGTTTGCCTGCACCCCCTCTCATCTGCGACTGCTTGACAGAGTAGAGAACAGAGCAAGACGTCTCATCTCTCGCCTGGACCCATCCTGGATAGATCTGTCATTTCAGCAGAGCCTTCAACACAGGAGGGATGTGGTTGGCCTTACTGTTATGTACAAGGCCAATATTGTTAAAGTACCACACTTGGATCCACTTCGAGGACAGCGTGAAGAAAGTTTCTATACCACAAGACGGGCAGAAAGCAGCAACTTCACTGTGGCTGTACCCTTCTCCAGAACATCACTCCATCTGAGATCATATATAAACAGGATGACTCGAGTATGGAACACATTCGTACAGCATAATGATGTCAACGAGATAACGTAAGTTGATCAAATGAAAATGCTGGCCCATAGATGGCTCCAATTTCATCCTGTTCCCTACTTGTATGTCTCATAACAATAAAAATACTTTCAAATGAGCTGATGTAGGTAACAGCTCTTAGCTTGCCAATAAAGTTAGGAATCCTTAACCTGTAAATAGCTTGTCAATAAAGCTAGGGATCCTTAACCTTGTCACACCCTGTGTAAAAAAAAAATTAGAGGGCTGAAGAGGGGGGGTTGAGGTGGTTTCGTCATTTAGAGAGAATGGATCAAAGTAGAATGACATGGAAAGCGTATAAATCTATAGGGGAAGGAAGGAGGGGTAGGGGTCATCCTCGAAAGGGTTGGAGAGAGGGGTGAAGGAGGTTTTGTGGGCAAGGGGCTTGGACTTCCAGCAAGTGTGTGCGAGCGTGTTAGATAGGAGTAAATGGAGACGAATGGTACTTGGGACCTGACGAGCTGTTGGAGTGTGAGCAGGGTAATATTTAGTCAAGGGATTCGTGGAAACCAGTTATTTTTATATAGTCGGACTTGAGTCCTGGAAGTGGGAAGTACAATGCCTGCACTTTAGAGGGGTTTGGGATATTGTGTATCTTTATATGTATATGCTTCTAAACTGTTGTGTTCTGAGCACCTCTGCAAAAACAGTGATTATGTGTGAGTGTGGTGAAAGTGTTGAATGATGAAAGTATTTTCTTTTTGGGGATTTTCTTTCTTTTTGAGTCGCCCTGCCACAGTTGGAGATGGCCAACTTGTTAAAAAAAAAATACAGGAAAACTATCCTGAGTGATGGAGTATTGGAAAATCATCCTTTATTAGAGTATGATGAGAAAGCTATTCTGCAGGATGTCAGGAAAACCATCCTGTATGATGTATGCCAGGAAAACCTCCCATTATGTTCCTCTGTAATGTTGAGATACAGCCCCTGGACTCAGTATGTGCCTTTGTAGTGTTGAGGTACACTCCCCTGACCCATTATGTGCCTCTGTAATGTTGAGGTACAGTCCCTGTGCCTCTGTAATGTTGAGGTACAGTCCCTGTGCCTCTGTAATGTTGAGGTACAGTCCCTGTGCCTCTGTAATGTTGAGGTACAGTCCCTGTGCCTCTGTAATGTTGAGGTACAGTCCCTGTGCCTCTGTACTGTTGAGGTACAGTCCCTGTGCCTCTGTAATGTTGAGGTACAGTCCCTATGCCTCTGTAATGTTGAGGTACAGTCCCTGTGCCTCTGTAATGTTGAGGTACAGTCCCTGTGCCTCTGTAATGTTGAGATACAGTCCCTGTGCCTCTGTAATGTTGAGGTACAGTCCCTGTGCCTCTGTAATGTTGAGGTACAGTCCATGTGCCTCTGTAATGTTGAGGTACAGTCCCTGTGCCTCTGTAATGTTGAGGTACAGTCCCTGTGCCTCTGTAATGTTGAGGTACAGTCCCTGTGCCTCTGTAATGTTGAGGTACAGTCCCTGTGCCTCTAATAAGAACATAAGAAAGGAGGAACACTGCAGCAGGCCTGTTGGCCCATACTAGGCAGGTCCTTTAGAATTCATCCCACTAACAAAACATTTGCCCAACCCAATTTTCAATGCCACCCAAGAAATAAGCTCTGATGTGAAAGTCCCACTCAAATCCAACCCCTCCCACTCATGTACTTATCCAACCTAAATTTGAAACTACCCAAAGTCCCAGCCTCAATAACCCAACTAGGTAGACTGTTCCACTCATCAACTACCCTATTTCCAAACCAATACTTTCCTATGTCCTTTCTAAAATCCAAACTTATCTAATTAAATCCATATACTGCGGTTCTCTCTTGGAGAGACATCCTCAAGACCCTATTAATATCCCCTTTATTAAATACCTATCTTCCACTTATACACTTCGATCAGTCTCCCCTCATTCTTCGTTCTAACAAGTTGAATGTAACTTAAGAGTCTTCAATTCTTTCTTCATAAGAAGATTTCTAATGCTTATGTATTAATTTAGTCATCCTACGCTGAATGTTTTTTTCTAATGAATTTATGTCCATTTTGTAATACGGAGACCAGAACTGAGCTGCATAATCTAGGTGAGGCCTTACTAATGATGTATAAAGCTGCAGTATGACCTCTGGACTTCTGTTGCTTACACTTCTTGATATAAATCCCAGTAATCTATTTGCCTTATTACGTATGCTTAGGCATTGCTGTCTTGGTTTAAGGTTGCTGCTCACCATAACCCCCAAGTCCTTTTCGCAATCTGTATGGCTAAGTTCTACATCATTTAACTTATAAGTACTAGGGTTATGGGC